GCCTGGCCTGCTGTGTTCCTCCCGCTCCACACTGTTATCAAATCATCTTTGATGCCCAGTTTAGAGTTAGCAACATTCCATGATTCTGCCCAGGCTTACATAAAAAGAGGCATTATAAGCCAGCAAGGGACCATGAAATTGAGATAAATACATTCAGAAGAGGCGTCACAGGGAGAGAGGTTGGAGACAAGAAGAAGAGGGATGACTCTTCCACAATGATTTTTAGAAAGGCAGGTATCCCAACTTCTTTGTCAAAAGAAACTTGAATGTTCTTCTTTCAAAGTCAGTCTATTCTAATGGCTAAATCTATTGCATTGAATGAGATTCATTCAACTCCAGTGGTTTACTGTAAGGCATAGCTTTAATAGCAATGGGAAATTCACCTTAGTACTTTAATGAACATCATAATGTACTTCCATAAATTGTTAAAAGCAGTGTCAAAACATGCACAATCCTTGCTACCTCCTTTTCTTGTAGATTCTCTATCCTCTCCTTAATATCTTTGTCAGACAGTCCTCAGGATTAGATGGCTTGTTTCTTTGCTTTTATGAGTTGCACGATATCTGGAAAATTCTCTGATCAAAACAAAAGACATGTCCAAATTGTTTGTGGTCTTCCTGGAAGTCTCCTTCCATTCTGTGCATGCTCTACCCAACAAAACTGGCTTTGAATCATAACTGCCTCTACACCAGGCACGTTTGCTTGGGGACAGATGCTACTATTGGATTGTATTTCTTGCCATTGAATACAAAGCTGGGTGGAAGGGTGAGCTGTGAGAAGGATTCAAAGATGTTACAGTACTTTGGACAGGCTGACTGAGTGAGCAAATATGCATGCTAATGCAGCATGTGGATAAATGAGGTTATCCACTTTGGTAGCAAAAACAGCAAGGCAAATTATTTGAAGACTGCAAGTTGACAGGGGAAATGTTCAGCAAGACCTGGTGTCCTTGTGCACCAGCAGTAAAAGCAGCAAATTACTGACCTTCAAGAGCAAGAGGATTTGATTATAGGAGCAAGGATATCTTACTGCAATTACACAGAGCATCACTGAGGCCACATCGGAATAACGTGCAATTTGAGTCTCCTTATCTTAGGAAGGATGTTCTTGTAGAGGAAGTGCAGCGAAGATTTGCCAAATTGATTCCTGGGATGACAGGTCTGATGTACAAGGAGAGAATGAATCTGTTAGGACCGTATTAACTGGAGTTCAGAACAATGAATTGGGAGTGGACGGAATTTCTTAGAAACCTACAAGTTTCTAAAAGCACTAGACAGGTTGGATGCAAGAAGGGTGAGGAGTCCGGAACCTGGGGTCATAGGATAAGGAATAAACCTTTAGGACTGAGATGAGGAGAAATTTCTTCACCCAAGTGAGCCTGTGGAATTCACTACCATAGAATGTGATTGAGGCCAAAACACAGTTTTCAAGATTATGGTAGATATAGCTCTTGTAGGTCAGAGGATATTGGCAGGGGGTGGGGGAGGAGGTGGTGGTGGTGGTGATCGTGGTCGTGGTGGTGTCATCATACTGAATGGCAGAGCAGGCTCGAAAAATCAAATGGTCTACTCCTGTCTTCTAGTTCCTATGAATTTTGAAGAATCTTGAGAACCTGGTGGTACTTCTCAAATGCACTCAAGTGGCAGCTGTCAGTTGTGCAAGCCTCCGAAACACATGGAAGGTGGTAATCACTGTTGCCCAATAAACCAGGAACTTTAGTCTCAGGTCCAAGATCCTGACAGTCTTTCCCTCAAATGGGAAATGGTCTAGTTGGCAAAGTGGAGGCAATGATGAATTTTGTCATTTTGCCTCCCTTTGTCCAGAGATGCCTCCCAAAATACAGAAAAGAATCCATGTTCCAGGATCTTGCCATTGATTCAAATCAGATGAGAAGTACAGTTCTGTGGAAGCATATTGAAAAACGAACATGGTTTTCCATGTGTTCATTAAAAGGCTCATTTTCCCATACAAGAATGTCGATGATAAGCAGGCATTCAGTTAATACCAACTGAATTCTTAAGTCGCAAGGTTCAACATTCCAGTTGCACTCCAAACCTTGACAGCAAAAAACATCAAGGCGAATAACTCATGCGGCCTGACTGAAGCACTGTCTTTAGGCTAATCAAGTCACCAGAGGCTCATTTCCTTCTTGGTAGGATGTAAGACAGGTGGTGGGCTTACTTTCCTGTGTCCTGGCCTACATATATTCCTCAATCAACAGATTATCAAGTCATCAAAATTGGTTGTCTATGGGAACCTGTCGTGAGTTTCTAACATTACAACAGTGAATACATCTTACAAGTACTTGGACAGCTGTTAAATGTTTTTGAGGCATCCGTGAGTGTGAAAAGCACGATATAATTACGTTTTTAATCGCCTGCCACTCCTGCCCAATTCAGTTCCCCACGTTATCACAACCACAAATATTCCCCACTTTAGCCTAAACAGGAGGAAACAGGAGGTTAGCAGACTGCACAACTGTAACAACAAGAATGCTCAGCGAACTAACATGTTCAACAAGACCTGGTACTGGACTAAAACCTGATTTTTCTGAGTTAGTTGCACTGAAGCCAAATCCAACACTTACGCACACTGGGCAAGTCCATCCTGGCCTCTCCTCAAGTTTAAACTTCAAAAAAGTTAATGGCAAAACAGCAATCTATTTTTAAGCCCAGAAAGCTAAAACCTAATGACTATGTATCTGAGAAATATTGTAACTCAAACTAACACACCATATTGACCTGTAACGTTTTGATAACTTCAGTACCTGGGGCTCCAAGAATAAAATTTAAGGCAGTTCTCAAGTCTAAAAATAGGATGTCTGGTATTTTGTAATCAGGAGGGTCAAGCTCATATTTCTTCCCCCTCCCAACCACAATTTCTTTCCTCCCTATCCACGAATCAAACTGACCTCAAATGAAAGCTGAGGTTCACGCAAACCAGCCTTAAATTTTATTCTACAAGATTTTATTCACATTTCAGTTAAAACGTTAAGATTTCAACACTCAATCGAAATAAGCACATCCTCCGTTTAATTCCAACTACAGATTAAAAGTACATCTCATTGATGGTAAACATCGAATTCAAGATTGCATTCTTTCCAACTCGAGGGTCTTGAATGTGCGTTAAAGCTACCATTTGATCTCTTAACCGCACACCGTCTCCAATAGGATCCCACCTTACTAACGGGCTTCATCAACTGACTTTCGTCAGTTCTTTGAACCGATAACAGGGCATACTGAAACAACTACCAAACAAAAAGGAAAACACCCAACTTCAAAATTAAACTACTGACGGTTTAATTAAACTAGTAGGAAAGCAGAGATGTCTCCCCCAGTACACCCTGTCCACAACAATGACAGCTTAACACCACAATATACCAAATACCACAGGAGCTGAAAACGTGAGATGGGGTGGGGATAGAAAACGCTGGAAATACTCGGGTCCAGATAAAACAAAGCTAACGGTTCAGGTCGATGACCTTCCATCAGAAACGTGGCTACCGGTCCAAGACCCAGGTCTGGATCGTGGTGAGGCTGCGTTTGAAGAGTGCCCGGAAGAGAAGATGTGAGTAGATCAGAAGCCCCGAATCCCTGGGGTGGGCGATTTGGGACACAGAGTCCGCTCTCCAGGAGTAGGCCCCTGCCATTAGTCCCCATCCCCCACCGGCCTCGGACCGACACCATCGAGCCCACGCCGCACGCCAAAGAAGCGGCCTCCAGCCCACGCGCACACCGTCACCTTTCCGTTAGCTCTGCGCTGAATTGAAAAGGCCCAGGTGCGGCCACGAGCCGCACTCAGAGCGTGCCTGCGGCGTGAGCGCTCCTGCCGCCGCTCATTTACCTGCTAATGTGCTCACAAAGCCGCGCGGCCCACGTGACTGCCTCAAATCCCCGCCGCCATCTTAACAATGTGACGTCATGGAGCGTCGCACCGTCAACCGCTCCTTTTCAGAAAAAGCCTTTTCCGAATCAATAATAGTAACAACTGTTTCATTAAGATCATTCGTTTGGTTTTCCATTCCAAAGGACAAAATAATTTTCCGCCCCTCTCCCTCCTCGTTTTTCCCTCTTGTGACTCGATGACTGACGTCATTTTCGAGCGCCGTTGCTCGTGGTGATGGTGACTGTATACTGCTTTGGTGGAGCGACTGGAGTTTAGTAATTTGGACAAAGGTTATATAAATTACAATTAAAATTAATATAAAAGCTCTAAATATCCAAAGTTAAACAAAAATAAAGTCTTAAAAGCATTCATTTGGTTAGGTTCTTTGAAGAGGATATAGACGTAGAGACCATCTACTGTTGTTTTGCATAGAGAATGGTGAAGGGAAGAAAACTGTTACTACTTTGTTTTTCTTCATTTATTTTGAATGAAGATGCAGACTGAGACTGAATTATAACACTGTGTGATATCGTTCTCAAGGGCAACTGGGGATGGGCAATCAATGCTGGCCGATCAGTCAGCGATGCCAGTGTCCCATGACTGAGTATAAAATCCTCTTTATGTATGGGAGTGATAACAGAGCATTAAACATAAATGTGATGAACTTGGGAACTACTGCTGTCAGTGGTGGGAAAATTACTGAAGGGTTGTCAAGGATAACATTAATTTTTTTTTCAGAATTACATAGGATATACAGCAGAGAAACAGCCCATTAGACCCAAACAATCCTGCAAATGCAAATGTTTTTGCTCCAGCCACCTTCTCTCATTTAAATCTATCATTGTACACCTCTTCCCATTTACCACTCATATACTTATGTCCCTTCCTCTTAAACGCATATATACTGTTCAGTTTAGTCACTTTTTAGGGTAGCAAGTTCCAGAATCCTGCCTCTATTTGGGTTTTGTAGTAGGAACTGCCGATGCTGGAGTCTGAGATAACATGATGTAGAGGTGGATGTATGCAGCAGGCTGTTTTCATCCCGCTCTACACCTTGTCATCTCTTTCGGTGGGTACGTTTCTTCAGAATTTCCTATTTCTTGGTGACTACCTTTATATTGACAACCCCGAGTTATGTTTGTCCTAGTTAACATGAATATTAACTCTGGATCCACTTGGTTAAACAAGACAGCCAGTAGAGATTGTTAAAGGCAAATCAATCTGATTAACCTCATTGACCTGATGTGACTTCTCTGATTAAGTCACAGGGAGGGCTGATGGGCTTGTACAGTTGACATTATTTATCTGTGTTTGTATGTATAAATTTTATTTGTGTGTATAGTTAACATAAATACTTGCAAAATGCATCTGTTAAATCAGATTGGTCACAACATAGAAAGATGCTATTCAGCCATTTGCATTGTGCAGTTCACTGTGAAGTCAATTCAACAAGAGCCATGCACTCAACTTCATTCCCTGACCATGTTTCCCCCTCAGATAATTCTCCAACACCTTTTTGAAAGACAGTGTTTTTGGTAATATCCTTGGTCCTGTTATGCTGCTAAAGAATATTTAGAGTCTGCTAAGGAATACATTAACTTTATTTAGAATCATAGAGTTATAAAGTTATACAGCGCAGAAACAGACCCTTTGATCCAACTCGTCCATGCTGACCAGATATCCTAAACTGATCTTGTCCCATTTGTCAGCATTTGGGATGTATCCCTCTAAACCCTTCCTTTTAAATGTTGAAATTTACCAGTCTCCACCACTTTCTCTGACAGCTCATTCGATGCACACACTACCCTCTGCATGAAAACATTGCCGCTTAAGTTCCTTTTAAATCTTTCCCCTCTCAAGTTAAATCTATGCCCTCTAGTTTTGGACTCCCCTACCCTGCCAAAAAGACTTTGGCTATTCACCCTATCCATACCCCTCATGATTTAATAAACCTCTGTAAGGTCACTCCTCAGCCTCCGATGCTCAGGGAAAATAGCCTCAGCCTATTCAGCCTCTCCCTACAGCTCAAACCCTCCAATCCTGCCAACATCCTTGTAAATCTTTTCTGAATCCTTTCAACTTTAACAACATCGTTCCTACCGCAGGGAGACCAGAATTGCACACAGTATTCCAAAAGTGGCCTCACTAATGTCCGGTACAGCTGCAACATGACATCACAAGTCCTATACTCAATGCACTAACCAATGAAGGCAAGCATGCCAAATGCTGCCTTCACCACCCTGTTTACCTGCAACTTTACTTTCAAGGAACTGTGAACCTGCATTCCTCGGTCTCTTCGTTCAGCAACACTCCCCAAAATCCTTTCATTAACTGTATAAGTCCTGGCCTGGTTGGCCTTTCCAAAATGCAACACCTCACACTTATCTAAATTAAACTCCATCTGCCACTCCTTAGGCCATTGGCCCATCTGATCAAGGTCCCATTGCACTCTGAAATAATCTTTGTCACTGTCCACTACACCACCAATTTTGGTGTCATTTACAAACTTACTAATCATACCTCCTATATTCACATCCAAATCATTTATATAAACAGCAGTGGACCCAGCACCGATCCTTACAGCACACCACCAGTCACTGGCCTCCAGTCTGAAAAGCAACCCTCTACCACCACCCTCTCCTAACTTCAAACTAATTTTGTATTCAATTGACCAGCTCCCCCGGATTCTGATTTAAGAACTATCTTACTGTGAATTCTTTTTGCCACGAGACTGCAAGACAGCATGATCATTTGACATTGTATCACATCCTCCAATAATATATACTGTGCCTCTCTGGCATATCACAGTGAGACTTGGCTCCTTCTATGACACTTGCCAGATTACTGCTAGCCTACACAGGAAGTGGAGCAAAACTAAAACTTCTGGTTATTTTAAACTGAAAATTATTCCAAAAATCAATTTTCCTGAAGTTTTTGTGTATGTCCATAACAATGGTAGTATGCATGAAGACGGAGTGAAATTGTGAATCAATAATGTGTGAAATAGGCTTCCCAGTGGCCTGTGTAAAAATTGCAGCACATTTGTGTGTTCTTGTGGTACAGTGGTGGTGTCCTCACCTCTGAGCCAAACAGTCTGGGTTCAAGTCCCACCTGCTCCAGAGCTGTATGATAACATCTCTGAACAGAATTATTAGAAAATATCCAATTAGTATGTCATAGAGTCATAGACGTATCCAGCACATAAATAGACCCTTCGGTCCAACTCGTCCATGCCGACCAGATTGCCTAAACTGAACTAGTCCTATTTGCCTGCATTTGGCCCGTATCCCTCTCAATCTTTTCCATCCATGTATCTGCGTACCACTTCCTCTGGCAGCTAGTTCCATATATGCACCACCCTCAGTGTGAAAACGTTGCCTCTCATGTTCCTTTTAAATCTTTCCCCTCTTACCTTAAACCTATGCCCTCTAGTTTTGTTTTTCCACTGCCTTGGAAAAAGACTTTTGCTATTCACCTCATCCATGCCCCTCATGATTTTATAAACCTCTATAAGGTCACCCCTCAACCTCCTATGCTCCAGGGAAAAAAGTCCCAGCATGTTCAGCCTCTCCTTATAACTCAAACCCTCCAATTCTGGTAACATCCTTGTAAATCCTTATTGCACCCTTTCCAGTTTAATAACCATCTTCCTACAATGGGGTGATCAGAATTTACACAGTACTCCAAATGTGGCCTTACCAATATCTTGTATAGCTGTAACATAATGTCCCAACTCCTGTACTCAATTCTCTGACTGATAAGACAAGCATGCCAAATGCCACCTTCATCACTGTGTATACCTGTGATGCCACTTTCAAGGAACTATCTACCTGTACCCCCAAGTTACCTCTGTTCAACAAAATTCCCCAGTAAGTCCTGCTCTGGTTTGTCTTACCAAAATGCAACACCTCGCATTTATCTAAATTAAATCCAACTGCCGTTTCTCAACCCACTTGATCAAGATCCCAGTGTACTCTTGAGATAAGCTTCTTCACTGTTCACTACACTGCCAATTTTGGTGTCATCCACAACCTTACTAAGCATGCCTCCTATATTCTCATCTAAATCATTTATATAAATGAACAATGGCGAACCCAGGACCAATTCTTGTGGCCACTGCTGGTCACAGGCCTCCAGTCTGAACAACAACGCTCTACCACTGCCCTATGTCTCCTACCATCAAGCCAATTGTGTATCCAGTTAGCTAGCTCTCCCTGGATTCTAATGAGTCTATCTTGAGGAATCTTGTTGAAGGCTTTGCTAATGTCCATGTGGACAATGTCTACCACTCTGCCTTCATCTATCTTCTTCGTAACCTCTTCAAAATATTCAAATTTGAGAGACATGATTCCCCATGCACAAAGCTATGCTGGCTATTCCTAATCAGTCCCTGTTTTCCAAAGGCATGGAGATCCTGTCTCTCAGAATCTGTAGTTCTGTGGCTTTTTCCTTGCAACCTTTCTTAAAAGAATGGCACAACATAAGCCACTCTCCAGTCTTCCAGCACCTCACCTGTGGCTGTTGATAAAACAAATACCTCCGCTAGAGGCCCCACAATTTTTTCCCTGGCTTCCCACAACATCCTGGGTGATATGTTTAGATCCGCTAGCTAATGAGATCAAAGTCATCTTAATAAATAAAATCCAACTTGCAGTTATAAGCAGGGGGTGTAATGTCCATAGTTTAACCTTTGGATGTGTGACTCAACAGGCCAGTCATGGCTCATATCTATGCTGACTAGAATAGGTAGATCATTATCTTTTTCATCAATCTTCACAGTGGGGAAAATGCATTCCACTCTGTTTAATTTTTTGTTTTGCTTCATCATCAAATGCACCAGTATCATCAGATAAGTCAACAAATGCAAAATATGCAATTCGATGTATGGAGAGCAAGATATTTTGTGGAGGGAAGATTCTGAAACATAAAGTGCCACAATTTATCCAGAGTGGGTTATTTACTGCAGTCAAAAGTGAAGCCATAGCCAAAGTGGGTCAGAATGAATTTGATGAATCCTTTGCATTGA